CCGAGTAGCTGCGACTACGGGAACATACCACCACACCCAGCTAATTTTTGTATTTTTAGTAGAGACGGGATTTCACCATGTTGACCAAAATGGTCTCGATCTCTTGACCTCGTGATCCACCCGCCTTGGCCTCCCAAAGTGCTGGGATTACAGGCCTCGTGAGCCACTGCGCCCGGTCCGCATTCCACCATTTTTATTTTCATTCTGTTCAAAATACTTTCTAATTTCCCTTTTCTTTGTTGACCCATGAGTTATTTAAAAGTGAGTTTAGCCAGGCGCAGTGGCTCACGCCTGTAATCCCAGCACTTTGGAAGGCCAAGGCGGGTGGATCACGAGGTCAAGAGATCGAGACCATCCTGGTCAACATGGTGAAAACCCGTCTCTACTAAAAATACAAAAAATTAGCTGGGCATGGTGGCGCGTGCCCGTAATTGCAGCTACTCGGGAGGCTGAGGCAGGAGAATTGCCTGAACCCAGGAGGCGGAGGTTGCGGTGAGCTGAGATCGCACCATTGCACTCCAGCCTGGGTAACAAGAGCGAAACTCTGTCTCAAAAAAAAAAAAAAAAAAAAAAAAAGTGAGTTATTCAGTTCCCAAATATTCAAAGGATTTTCCAATCTGTTAATGATTTCTACTTGAATATTAAATATCATTCTGGTCAGATAACATACTGGTTTAGTAGACTGGAATATGATCAGGCTTAGTAAATGTTTTAATGCCCTTGAAAAATTGTGTATTCTAGGCTGTTATTGTGAGGAATGTGCCATAAACGTTCATATGTCGTCAGCTGACAGTCATGTTCAAGTCTACTACATCCTTAGTGATCTTCTGGGTATGTATCCTGTCATTTATGGAGAAAGAATATTCTCCAACTCCATCAATCTCCCACTACTATTGTGACTTTTCCTCCTTCCCTGCAGCTATTAGTTTGTTTCATGTACTTTAGAGCTTCGTTGTTAGGTGCATAAATGTTTAGGATTATCCTGTCTTTTTGGTGAATTCACCCTTCATCATTATAAAATGATACTCTTAATTTCTTATAATATATTTGCCATAAAACTTAGCAGATCAGGTATGGGGATGAAGACCATAAATTCAGTTCTGGATATATACACGCTCATGTATGTGGCGGGATAGGTATCTGAGTACAAGCACCTGAGAATTCAGATGCGATATGAAGACAGATATTCGGGTTAAGACAGCATTACTGTAGCATCTACGTCAGTGCCAATAAATAAAGGTGCTCCTTGGCCAGGCACAGTCACTCACACCTGTAATCCCAGCACTTTGGGAGGCCAAGTGGGCGAATCACAAGGTCAGGAGATTGACACCATCCTGGCTGACACAGTGAAATCCCATCTCTACTAAAAATACAAAAAATTAGCCAGGTGTGGTGGCATGTGCCTGTAATCCCAGCTACTTGAGAGGCTGAGGCAGGAGAATCACTTGAACCCAGGAGGTGGTGGTTACATTGAGCCAAGATGGCGACACTGCACTCCAGCCTGGCAACAGAGCAAGACTCAGTCTAAAAAAAAAAGAAAAGAAAAGGTGCTCCATACATATTCATAAGTAGTCTGACTCTGATTTCCAAAGTAATTACACGGTTTAGAAATCATCCCTCGATCCTAGGTCATGCCAGCATACGTTCATGGCCTCCAAACGAGTGCTTAAACTCTATCATGCTTTCTAGTGAATTATTTACCAGGTTTTCTGTAATAGCTATTTTAGATCTTTTCGACACTGCTTATCTTGGGTTTTCTACCTCCCCTCTCACTTTCAGTTGATGTTTTCCTTTCCTCATTCACAATGAAAACAGAAGCCATTAGATAATTTCTTCACCTTCATTCCAATAAATACATAAAGCTACCTGCAACTGCAACCCAGGTTTCTTCCTCTCCTGTGTGTTTTTCCTGTGTGCCAAGCAAATGGCTCTCCCTTCACTTTGGATGTGGTTCCTCATCTGTGTTACAAGAAATAGAGGGCGCCTCGTTAAGATAGAGTTATCTTATTGCCCCTCTTTCTTCCTGACCAGAAACCTTCTCTCCTTTCCGTAGCTTTAGGCTGCTCGGGAATCTCTCATGGGAAACCATGTCAACACTGCGCCGTCCCTCTAGCTCCCACTCTCTCCTTTCCGTAGCTTTAGGCTTCTCGGGAATCTCTCATGGGAAACCATGTCAACACTGCGCCGTCCCTCTAGCTCCCACTCTCTCCTTTCCGTAGCTTTAGGCTTCTCGGGAGTCTCTCATGGGAAACCATGTCAACACTGCGCCGTCCCTCTAGCTCCCACTCTCTCCTTTCCGTAGCTTTAGGCTGCTCGGGAGTCTCTCATGGGAAACCATGTCAACACTGCGCCGTCCCTCTAGCTCCCACTCTCTCCTTTCCGTAGCTTTAGGCTGCTCGGGAGTCTCTCATGGGAAACCATGTCAACACTGCGCCGTCCCTCTAGCTCCCACTCTCTCCTTTCCGTAGCTTTAGGCTGCTCGGGAATCTCTCATGGGAAACCATGTCAACACTGCGCCGTCCCTCTAGCTCCCACTCTCTCCTTTCCGTAGCTTTAGGCTTCTCGGGAATCTCTCATGGGAAACCATGTCAACACTGCGCCGTCCCTCTAGCTCCCACTCTCTCCTTTCCGTAGCTTTAGGCTGCTCGGGAATCTCTCATGGGAAACCATGTCAACACTGCGCCGTCCCTCTAGCTCCCACTCTCTCCTTTCCGTAGCTTTAGGCTGCTCGGGAATCTCTCATGGGAAACCATGTCAACACTGCGCCGTCCCTCTAGCTCCCACTCTCTCCTTTCCGTAGCTTTAGGCTGCTCGGGAGTCTCTCATGGGAAACCATGTCAACACTGCGCCGTCCCTCTAGCTCCCACTCTCTCCTTTCCGTAGCTTTAGGCTGCTCGGGAGTCTCTCATGGGAAACCATGTCAACACTGCGCCGTCCCTCTAGCTCCCACTCTCTCCTTCACGGCCAAACTTCTGAGTTACCTCTACTTGCCATCTCTACCTCGTCGTCTCTTCATCCCTCCACTATGGGAATACGCAGCTTCCACCTCATGACTCCAGTGAAGCTATTCTTGGTGAAAACACGTTTCCACTTCTTTTCCTACTTGACTTTTTAAGTGGCATTCAACACTCTGAACTACATTCTCTGACCCGAACAACCTCGCTTCTTGGCTCTTGGTTTTCTTCCTCCTTCACTGGCTGCTCTTTCTCCATATGCTGTCCATTCTCTGAAGGTTCTAACCTCTTTATGTCTAATATGCCATCTCTCTTGGTCTTCTCTTCAGCTCTTCTGCCAACTGCCACCTATATGCTGAAGATGCCCAAATATCTGTCTCCAGCATGGACTCCTCCCTGAGCTCTCAATCCTTCTATTCCACAGTCTGGCAGACAAATGCAGTGGCTGAGAAAGCCATGACTTGTGTTGAATTTTAGCTGTATCACTTGTTGATCCTGGCCAAATAATGGCATTTTAAGCATATTTTCTCATCCCAAAATAAAGGGGGTTAATTATACCGTGCTTTCTTCACAAAGATGTTTTAGGATCATTACAATGAATCATTACAGAAAAGAATGTTGTAAGCAATAACCCACCGCATAAACTAAGCTACTGCTACTGTCATTTTTATTTTTCAAAGATCTCATTTGCCTTCATGCAACACTTCATTCCATAAAACAGGTTAAGTGTTCCAATGAGCTGAGCCTATTGTCTTTTAATGATAAAGATAACAGATGTCAGCTTCTGGGACAGATAAGATGCTGATTTGAGCTTTATAATCCATTTTTGAGTTTGAGAACAAAGACTCTACGCAAAGGTCTGCAACCTCAAATGACTATAGGGACCAGGCAGGTGACATACACGAGCCAAGCCAGGCAGGCAAATGACTGCGTCTTACCTGAAGGGACCGCTCTAGGTAACTGGTAACACACGTGATTTGGGGTCCAATATTGATAGGTTTGATTTTTCTACAGAAGCTGAAAAACCAGATTTTTAACGTTTAGGCCTTTCAGGTTTTTTTGTTGGTTTTTTTTGAGGCGGAGTCTCACTCTGCTGCCCAGGCTGGAGTGCAGTGGTGTGATCTCAATCTTGGCTCAATGACTGCAACCTCCACCTCCCGGGTTCAAGCGATTCTCCTGCCTCAGCCTCCGAATAGCTGAGATTACAGGCGTGAGCCACCGCGCCCGGTCTTTAAATGATAGCAACGAATTCACGTCCCGCTATCCACCCCCAACCCTCAAACACTGCTTGGGGCAAAAACTAAAAATGCATTTTCCGTGAGCCATTCCCTTATTACCCTATAAGGAAAGCCACCTTTTCATGTTGGGCGCTACGAACCCTTCCGAGTGGTTCAAGAGGACCCGCTTTTTGTCTTGGAAAAGGTGAGGGTGCGAACGAACCCTGAGGGTGACAGGGCAGCCTCTGCAGGGTGCGGTTGCCCAGAACCAAGGTTTTCTGGCCCCCGGCTCCCATGACTGGACGCTGCCCCAGCCCAGGCTCGGGCCCTCTGCTCGGAAGACGGGGGAGCGCAGCAGCCTTTCACCTGCAAACTGCCGCCCGGCTGCCGGGAGGGGGCCGCCAACCTTACTCGCTAAGCGTCACAGGAAACGCCGACCTCCAGAAGACAAGAACCAAGTATTTACTGAAGGCTGAACGGACGCTAACTCCGTGCTCCTCAGCCAGCTGAGAGAAGAACGCGCGAACCCATTTTTCTCCCATTGCTAACAGCAAGAGGGAAGCGGACTCCACCCGCTTGTGAGGCGCTTAAACCGGACACGGCCGAGAGGAGCCTCCCGCAAAACAGACCATGTGGGGAACGGTACCAGGAGCTGGGATGCGGCGCCGAACTACCTGGGCGGGAATCGCCCCGGCAACTGCTCCGCGCACCTCCGCTTGAGTCAGGCCAGCCGGGCGCTTGACGGCAGGAAGTTCGTCACGAGGCCGGCGACGCCGCGCACGCTCTGTCTGCATCAGCTCTCTGCGTCTGCGCGCGCAGCCAGGAAGTGAGGCCGCAGCGGAGGGGATGGGGCTGGGCCGCGACGCCTCCTGTCGCGACGCGCCCTCACGCGCGCCTACGTCACGGCGTCGGGGCGGAAGATGGTGCCGCTCGGGGCCGGCGGTTGCTGAGCGGACCCGGAGAGCGAGGCAGCTGGAGCCGGAGCCCGATCACTCCGGGTACCGCGGGGTGCGGCGCTGCCACCGCCATGTCGCTGCTGCAGTCGGCGCTCGACTTCTTGGCGGGCCCAGGCTCCCTGGGCGGCGCTTCCGGCCGCGACCACAGTGACTTCGTGGGGCAGACGGTGGAACTGGGCGAGCTGCGGCTGCGGGTGCGGCGGGTTCTGGCCGAAGGTGAGGCCCCGGGTCGGCAGCGCGGGTGCTGGCGCGGAGTGTCGTCTCCCGAACGCTGCGGGCAGCGTCAGCCCGGAGTGGAAGGGCGTGGGTCGGGGCTGGGGAGGGTCCCAGCGGGGGTCGTGGGTCAGGGTCGGCCAGGGGAGGGTCTCTGCCGGGGGCGAGGGTCACAGTGGGGCGTGGGTCCGTGCCTGCTGGTGGTGATTGCGGAGGGCGAGGCTGGGTTCGGGTCGGGTACTTCTTGTCCTAGGAGTAGGGTCAAGTTGGAGCAAGGCCTGGGGCTCGGGGACCCCCCTCAGGGTGGGTGGGGGAAGATGTTACAGTGAGGATGGTGGCAGGCAGGGAGCTTGGGTGGGGGCCTTAGCGGAGGCTGAGGGAGGGTGCCTAGAAGGCCAACAGCTGGAGTCAGGAGGTGAGCGAGCCGGAGGGGGGTTTAAGCCTTGGCCTGTTGCCTGACATCTAGGGTTATTGGGCAGGCAGGGACAGGGCTGGACTTTGGAGGTCCGGGCTGGTTCTTCTAGAGTCCAGGGAGCTTCAGAGTTGGTGGTTGCAGAAGCGTGGCAGGTAGTTGCGGTCGTAGCCTGGGGTTGGGTTGCTGAGGGTAGACAGGGCTGTGTCTCGTGATGTCGTGATGTCGTGATCCCGTGATCCCTTCTGAGCACCTCAGTGTTTCTCTTCCCCGTGTGATTACATGTGTAGCACGGGAAGCAGAGCTAGTAGTTGTGACCAGGTCGCTCAGCTTAAGTACTCTTGAGCCAGTCTCCAGTCAGTTTCGTTTCTGCACGCCATTTCTAGCTTCCTGAATGTTCTCTCCGTCTGTCACACGGAATCCATCACCAGCGTCAGTCGGTCCCGTTCTCTCTTGTGGATCTTCCTTGCTTTTTTGTCCAGTGGTGCCTGGGAGTGTGTCGCGTTTCACTGGCTGAACACAGTTGACTTCGGTGCTGAAACGTAAGTCTATTCTGCTGTGTTGGCACAGGGAGAGGGAGCGAAGCGGCGCGTTAGCCCTCACCCGATCCGTGGTACCTCTCAGGGCTGGAGGGTGAGCCTGTCCAGGTGGCCGCCCTGTGACCAGAGAGGAGACTGTCCCAAAATTCTGATCATCACAGGCTTGCAGAGACATTTTGACTGTAGTATTATCACACACTTTGTCTCCATTGTGGTCAGGACCAAACAGATTTCGGGTACGTTTTGGTAAGAAAGCTCTAAGCTCTTCTTTCAGAGGTGCGGGCCGAAGTGTGATATTCTTTCACATCTGTTAGAAGGCAGATTTCCCCCAGATCAACTCATTTATTTTGGAAATACTAGGTAGTCATCTTCATTCTTTAAGAAATCCGTAATGGACAGGACTTGGTTTCTGGAACTTCAGACTTGTGCTCTGGGGTGGAGAGACGAGGCAGCATGGGGACAGATCCTTGGAGGTTGTACAGACAGGGTGACCTCCGGGAAGGGGCCAAGCAGATGATGGCATGGATGGGGAGGGAGGGTGGAGAATGCACCCTCACTGGGGCCTGGAGAAGATTCATGTAAAGAAAGAAGCTTGTGGGTCATTTAGCGCCCAGGAAGAAGAACAAGGAAATGTGGGCGGCCGCTGAGGTTGTGCAAAAGAACTTGTTTCCCTTTGCTATCTAGGCGAGTCAGGAGATAAAAATAACCAATGCCATTCGGAGCTGTAGATTTCCTCCTTGTAAACTTAACAGGTGGCTTGCAACCTCCTGAGTACTTTGAAGGCTCTTTGAACTGAAACAGGGTGTGAAAATGGAATGATTTTAATTTACATAAACATATTTAAATAAGTTTTGTCTGGACAGCAACCTCAGAACATACGCTGTGGGAATTAGGCTGTCTTATGTAAACATGGCCATGGCCCCTGATCGAACGCTTGAGTACAGATGTTTGCAATGTCAGAATTTTTCAGGTTTCAGAGTGATCATTGCAGCATATAACCCTGTATATCATGGGATACTCCCAGAGGCGCTGGGAAAGTATTCTGTAATTGAAGACATTAGTACTTCTGTAATTAAATGAATAAATATTCTCACTGTGGGATAATTAAAGTCTGTAATTAGCCCTGTATCAGTTCATGTCAGGTTTTATCCCAAATGAGGTTATGATAGATTTGCTGTCAGATGAGTTTAAGAAAAAATGGTTTGCATATCTTTTAGGAATTTGGACTTGTGGTGTGAATGGGTTTTTAGGCAGAACTGTGGAACCAGATACCTTTCTAACTTCTTCAGATTTGTTCTGTCATCCTCTTTTTTTTTTTTTTTTTAAGAGATGAGATCTTACTCAGGATGTATTTGAACTGTGTTCTAGATCTTCCTACCTCAGCCTCCTGAGTAGCTGGGGTAACAGGCATGTGCCACTGCACCTGGCTAGTTGTTTTTTTTTTTTTTTTTTTTTTTTGAGTTGGAGTTTCACTCTTGTTGCCCAGGCTGGAGTGCAATGGCGAGATCTTGGCTCACAGCCTCCACCTCCCGGGTTCAAGCGATTCTCCGGCCTCAGCCTCCTGAGTAGCTGGGATTACAGGCACGTGCCACCACCACTGGGCTAAGTTTTTGTATTTTTAGTAGAGACGAGGTTTCACCATGTTGGCCAGGCTGGTCTTGAACTCCTGACCTCAGGTGATCTACCTGCCTTGACCTCCCAAAGTAGTGTGTGCCTGGCCTAGTCTTCCTTGTTTTAAAAGGCAGATTATCAGAAGCACCAACAGTGTCAGAGATGCCCAGGGTGAGTGTATTGTGTGTGTTCTTTGTCTGGGGTTCTGTGTGCTGTGGCTTCTGAAACGGAGCCTGCTGTGCACTGACTGCAGGAGATCCGCCTTTCCTGTGTGGATGACTTGAACTCTGGGTTAATGTTAGTGAGGTAAAATGAGGTAGAAAATGAAAACAAGGCACACAGCTGCGATGTAGTTGAAGTATAACTTGCCTCGCGCATTTGGTTAGGTGTCGTGTGTAATTTCAGCCTGCCGGCAGTCTTCGTGTGCCATGCGCAGTGTCAGCTGTGTGGCACGGCCCACTCAGGAGCCTTGGGGGTCAAGCTCTGGCCTAGGAAATGGTGAGGGCACAGCCTTCTCTGCCTTCTCTGCCTCTCTTGGCCTTTCTCCACCTTCTCAGCCCTTCTCCGCCTTCTCGGGCCTCCTCGGCCTCCTCGGGCCTCCTCGGCCTCCTCCACCTTCTCGGCCTTCTCAGCCTTCTCAGCCTTCTCACACTCCCAGGTCCACTCGTTTGTGTCCTGAGTCTCCACCTGTCTTCCTCCTAGACATGCTTTTGGAGGCTTCCTCCCTTCACTTAGGTTGAATGTTCTGGACTGGGTGAGGGCACGGGGAGTATTTGGTACTGACAGACAGTTGCAGAATTGTGTGGTATAGACAAGCCTCTTGGCTTCAAGTTTCAGAAGCCCCCCCAGGTGGGCTCAGTGGCTGGGGAGGCCCCATGTTGGCCCTGCATGTCCTCTGCAGGGTGCACTGTAGATCTTTTTCTTTTATTGGAAACAATCTGGCTCTGTCGCCCAGGCTGAGTGCAGTGGAGTGATCACGACTCACTGCAGCCTTGAACTCCTGGGTCCACGTGATCCCCCTGCCTTGGCCTCCTAGAGTGCTGGGACGACAGATGTGAGCTAATGTGCCCGCCTTAGACCCAGCTGGGCATGGTGGCTCATGCCTGTAATCCCAGCACTTTGGGAGGCTGAGGAGGGCAGATCACCTGAGGTCACGAGTTTGAAACCAGCCTGGCCAACATGGCAAAACCTCAACTCTGCTAAAAATACAAAAATTAGCTGGGCATGATGCCAGGTGGCTGTAATCCCAGCTACTTGGGAGGCTGAGGCCAGAGAATCGCTTGAACTCGGGAGGTGGAGGCTACAGTGAGCTGAGATGCACTCTAGCCTGGGTGACAGAGTGAAACTCCGTCTGCAAAAAAAAAAAAGAAGAAGAAGTAGACCCTTAGGTGGCTGTGGCAAGCAAGTCCTCTGGCACCCTCCTCCTACGTAGGACACATGACCAAGGACACTCACCCCTGAGGCTCCACGCTGTTCTCTTGGCCACCAGGGTTCTGTCATCCTTGCTTCTTTGTACCTGTCCCTGGACCCAGAGCCCCAAGTGCATGGGCTGCGCTCACTTCAGGACAGATACAGGCGGAGCAGAGCACAGGTGACCGAGGTCTCTGGGGATTAGTGAGGGGTGTGGGCAGAGCAGAGCACATGTGACCGGGGTCTCTGGGTCCTAGTGAGGGGTGTGGGCAGAGCAGAGCGCAGGTGACCGGGGTCTCTGGGGGTTAGTGAGGGGTGCGGGCGGAGCAGAGCGCAGGTGACCGGGGTCTCTGGGGGTTAGTGAGGGGTGCGGGCGGAGCAGAGCGCAGGTGACCGGGGTCTCGGGGTTAGTGAGGGGTGCGGGCGGAGCAGAGCACAGGTGACCGCGTTCTCTGGGGCCTGGGCAGTTGCTTTTGGGTGGTCAGGCCTGTGAGGCCCAGCTGCCCTCTCTCACTCAGCTCTCCTCATGTGAACCCCCTTCACTTCCAAGTTGGCGGCTTGACCTTCAACCTTTGTCCACTTTGTGTGAAACAATGATCAGAAGCACCACAGCAACACTTAGGGGCTCTTGTATTTGCTGAGCACAGTCCCTAGTGCTTTCAGTGGACTGTGTAACCTTCACAGTAGCCCTATAAAGTGGATGCTGTAATTATTCCCATCTTACAGATGAGAAAAGTGAGGTTTGTGGAGGTTAGTTGCTTGCCAAAGGCTGTGTGGTGGAGTGGGGCTAGGAGTCCAAGGGGGGCCCCATGAGGCTCCTCAGTGTCCTTAGGGTGCATGTTCTGGCCTCCGATGGTCTGCACATTATGCCCTGGAGGAGGCATCTCTCTGAGTGTATAAAGGTAGCAGAGGCTGTCAGAGTGAGTCGGTGGGTCACACAGTCCTGACCTCATGATCTGCCCACCTCAGCCTCCCAAAGTGCTAGGATTATAGGTGTGAGCCACTGTGCCTGGCAAATGGCATTTTTTTTT